AAAAACCCTCGTGCATCCGTTCCATTGTGGGAGGAGCGTTTGGGAAATTCCCAAATGTATAAATCGATTTTTGAACCTAGGAGGGGGGTCGTAAGAATTTTCACAATTTAGATAAAGTACGTTTGGAAATAAATTGTTTAAGTGCCAAAAAAATATTAAGTTCTGCCATCTAGCGGATAATTTTTTTAGTTTGATTTTGAAATTCATTCTAAATTTTAGAATTTAAAATGTTTGATGTTATAAAATTCAAAAACGGTTGTGTTCTAACTTCTTCTAAGCTGTTCTGACGTTTATTATTTTACTCTCTAGTGAGGGAATCTAGTGTGCGATTATTGACTGATGGCTACTGAATGAACAAACGAGTTAAATTAATCAACTCTCAAGTGTAATCGGACTAGTCGCTACAAGCTCACTCGCGCGCAACTTTGTTTGCTGAACGTAGCAGCGAATAAATTTGGCCAATGCAATCGACTAATATCGAGGCTTCAGTAGTTCAGTACTTGAGTAGTAGTTGAGTCGTGTTTTTATAATAAATTTCATCGGTATTCCTAAAATACGCGTCCATCTTCTATGTGAATCACGGGAACAGAATTTATTTTTACAATAGCAATTGAAAAATATTAAGAATACATAGGCACAATTGTTTTATAATCATTTAAAGTTCAAATTTGGACTAAATTTATCAAATATAAATTTAATAATTATTTAGTAGTTAAAAATGTATAAAATGTTCAACTTTTATAGCTAAAAATTAAAAACTGAAATTAAAGTTCCACGTAAATAGGTTAAATATCAATTAGGTACTTTATTCACAATATTATAATGTCATCAAATATACTTAGTAATATTATAATTTATAGGCTGACGGATCGTCTTTGCTCAGAATCGTTTTTCTTACCTATACAAAGATATTTTATCATTGAATTAAAATTTAACACAATCCATTACAGTGACCCACTTGTAACTTACTGAACAGCGACACAAATTTTTATTTTTTGTGTCTGTGTACACGATAAGTAAGTCAAAATACTGCTTCGATTATCAACTTCAGGATCTTTTTCGATGGGAAAGTGAATCTAGTTGGTGTATAATTGCGGAGGTCAATATTTATATTCATTTTCTAGTAGTTTTCATAATCACCGGGAAAAACAAAAAAAAATTAAGGAAAAACGGGAATTTTTACGCAAAATTATTTTTCGACAAAATCAATTTTGGTTTTTGTTCCAACTCTAAAACAAATCCCTGTAGATACATGAAACTTACCCTGAATATTAATATTAGCATTTTCTATAAACCATACAATTTTCAAAATATTGTGATTGTTTTGAGCTGTTTAAGGACATTTTCAGTTTCCATGTTTTTAGGTGTTTTTTTCCATAAATGTCAATAAAATTGTATTCGTTGAGTCATAAAGCTTGAAAATTTAATACAAGGCTCCTAATATATTATTACAATGACAGTTGAAAAATACTTAAAATATTTAGTTAGTTGTTTTTCTTTATAAGCATTTAAAGATCCAATTTTGATACATAAAAATCACAAATACATATGTGTAAATTATTTTTAGTTATAAATTCATAAAATTTTTGATTCTAAGGTTTCAAAACTTAATACAAGATTCCTCATAAGTTTGTCTACCTTAATAAAAAAAAAAATGTCCAACGAAAGTCAAATTAAATTTTAATGAGCTTTTGAAGTTGAAATTATTTGGATATTCACTCGATTTCTCAAGTAGCGATTTTCTTATTTTGTTTTAATTCAAAAACGAATAGTTGTAGATACTCGAAATTTACACCAATTGTTTATTTTAAGGGGCCTGGTCGCGATCTGTTTTTTTGCTCAAAAATATGCCTTACAGGAAAAACTCTCACGCCTTGTAGATTGGTCCGATTTCCGTAATTTTTTTTTGTTAAATAGAGGAAGACGTATTGCAGGGCGCATTGGACTTGGATTTTCAAAATTATTTTTCGAAATCTTATATTACAAGTTTGAATTTAATCCATTTTTACAATTTTTAGTTTTTGTATTATTATTTATTTTTAGCAACGTAATCAAAAATCAAAGTCCAATGCGCCCTGTAAAAAATATTCTTCTATCTAACAAAAAAAAAATTACGGAAATCGGACCAATCTACGAGGTGTGAGAGTTTTTCCTGTAAACTGTGTTTTGACCGATATAATACACCCTATCAACCCCCCCCCCCTAAATAGGTATTGGGTAGTAGATTAGTGGAAAAGTCTTATAATTGAGGTGGCAACTAAAATATAAAATTTAATTTTCAAATTTTATAGAATTGCGGAAAATTTGAAAAATCGTGACCAGGCCCCTTAACATTTTCTACACTTGATAACATTTTTAAAATATTTTGACAATTTTCGAGCTGTTTTTGGACATTTTAAATTGTATATTCTTTTAGTTTTTTTTTTAAATGTCAGTATAATTGTATTTGTTTGGTAAAAGAGTTTGAAAAGTATTAAGAATACATAGGCACATTTTTTTTATTGAAAGTTCGAATTTTACAAAATTTACCAAATTTAAAATTTAAAAATGTTGTTAAAAATTTATAAAATGTTCAACTATTTTAACTAAGCATTGAAAATTTAAGACAGGGTTCCATGTAAGTAAGTAGTTAATTCTGTAATTAAAAAATCTAAAAATATACATAAACACAGTTTTTTTTATAGTTATTTCAAGTTTAAATTTTGACAAAATTACATAGGTATTAATTAACCAAGAATAATGACTTACTTTATTTTTTTGTAATTTTTACAATATTAGTTCAACTTACCGGCTGTACGGCTACCGTATAAATAATAAGTAATAACAGTATAAATATAATATAAAATAGCCTAGACTGACATACAGTCTTCGATCAGAATCGTTTTTCGTATAAAATAATAATATTATTGAATTAAAATTTAATACCATCCATTACAGTGACCTATACTTGTAACCGTCGTATATTGTAGACGGTCGTCAAAATATTATTATTTAATATATATGTAATAACCGGTGGGAATATTTTAAATTGTAAATTATTGACATAAGTCAGGCCAGTGAAGCAATATGTGCTGAGGCAGCCATAATATTTTACCATATAACACCGCCGTACGCGCAGGCACGGGCAGTCCCGTTGTCGCCAGTGCTTCGGCGAGGACGTAGGTACCACGATTGTACGAGTAATTCAGCAGTCGCGTGGTACGGACCAGGTATTTTAAATAATTGAATTATTTATGTTTGTTTTATAATTCAATAAAAGTGTTTCCGACCCGAACATTATATGTTTTGTTTGAGTAGCCACACAATTCTATACGTACTCTTTAAATCCGATCTGCAACCGATTAATTTATGGTCGTTGAAGATTGAAAGTCTAAACAGTAAGGTAGCGATATCGACGTCTAGGGAGTAAAACTGTAACCGGTTAATTTATGGTATTTTGGTAACTCAAGTGTCGATAGAGTACTGGATCACTGGAAAGTGCATATACGACATAACCTACTGTACAGCAGAGAGACATCCACTTACCCGCTTTTTTGTATTTTTCCTATATATAGGTAGGTTTAATATTATGTCGATCAATATTATTTTGTAGTTCAAAATGTATCACATTATCAATCTTGATAGCGTAGGCAGGTATAGGCTGAAAATTCTGTTCAAGGTTCCTCGTAAGTTTAGAAACATTTTAGTTTTTACCATTATTTATGTAGTAAATTATTATACCTATATGGCTATTTAAGTACGCAATTAAATTTTCATTATTTTTAGATTATTACATTTTTTTCCACGAATCTATTCACAATGTTACCTAGTTAATATTTTATGAAACGTTGTAAGTATATTGTTGTTGGAAATAGGCGGAAATCTGGTATACCTTAATAGGTACCTAATGCCTAATTATGGTTGGTTAATGTTATAACTTAAAATATTTCAGTCAAAATATTTATATAATAATTATGACTTCTGCTAGGTACAATCAAAAATATTCTATTTTTTTTTATAGGGATAATAAAATGGAAAATATTAAAATTATTTTTTCAATCGTTCTACGAGGGCTTCGAACTTTCCAATTTCCTCCTAGCAGTAAGATATTTTTAGTATTTGGGCATTGGGTGAGCATTTTTTATTGAGTGGGTAGGTACTAGGTAGTAAAACTATATTTTGCCCTTATACTAAAATAGTTCACCATAGGTAGGTACCTACATGAATTACGTTTATGATTTATAAATTATACCTAATGTTCAACAGTCTTCTTAAAGTTTTAAACCTATCTACCTATAATTAAACCACCATCATCTACATAATGTACGCAAAACAAATAGGTAGGTAAACGAAACCTTTGTAGATTTGCAGTTTATCAAAAATTAAAAATATATAGGTACCTACCTAATAATATAATATTAGGTAAACTAAGCTAACCTAATATTATAGTCATATCCACGGCTGTGGTCATAGGTACACTCATGACAAAATATAGAGGTAGGTACGTCAGCAACAGTACGTAGGTATTTGAATTTCGTTTGCATATCCCAACTTTAGGGTCTCCGATCTTCATGCTTTGGTGTATGCGACTAATGAGAGGCGGAGAACGTAACACACTGTAAAAAGTGGGAGATATGAGCATCACAATGTTGTTGACATACCTATATAGTAAAGTTTGTCATTGGTACACTCATACCTACGAGTCACGAGTGGGCAATTTTGTCATGAATTTATTATGCGTTTATTATGAGAGTATAATGGAGATTGTGAATTTTACAGATATTTTGATGTTATCATTCAATTGCCTTTAGTGATAAGAGCATATCGCGCCAATTCGTTATCGATAATAAATTATTATTTAAGAATTTCATTCAGTTTACTCTATACAGTAGGTATACAGGTATACTACAGTCGTAAAAACGTAGTTTTGTATATACTTTTATGAAATGATTTATGTTTTAAGCAATTAATCTTGTAGCATATTAAAATACATGTTATAAACAATATCTATTATATCATTAATGAGTATTGAGTACCAAGGAAAAGTAATGGACGACAGTACTGAAGAAATCTTTTTAGATGATGAATGTTACACAGATCTGATAAAAGTATTAAGCTAGTATTAGCTATCTAATTATTACAAATAAATAATAAGTGGTCCACCAAATGTTTTAATTATATTTATTCAACTGATTATAGAAATTGAACGGCATAAAACAAATCGTAAGTGATTCAAACTATGAAGGAAGTAAAGAAACCTCCGTACATACACTATTGCAGGTACTGTAATATCTTAATCATTTCTATGAACAATTAATCATAAAACATTTGAATGATTTCCAGGGGTGCATTGAAATACTGAACACTGGGAAAAACTCTTTGGAATGTATCCAGGATGGATCTTGTGAATCAAGCAGCATAGTTAGTGGATTCTTATCATATGAAAAAGGCATAATTGCTTCATTTAAACATTGTTCAGAGAGCAATCTGATTTATGGCAATTTAATTATGAATGTAAAGGAATTGCTCACCGAATTATTCAAAAAAGCGTCTGAAATACAAATATTATTTTTCAGTATCTTAGAAAAAGTGAAATTTGATTTCTCTTTGAATGGAGATTTAAGCTTATTGCTAAGAGGTAAGATAATAATATTAAATTGGTACTTATCGGTTATTATGACTACTTATACAATTTTCTGGTAGACTCAATTTTTTTTTATCGCTATTACAGAATACCACTGGTTAACACTGTGTGTTATGTTATTTCAAGTGGATGTCAGCTCAATATTTGTTTTCTATCTCATATGTGCACACAACATAGACAAAGTGCATTCACCTAAATGAATTTTTTTTATGACTTTTTAAGGTTTGACATTGATTTTATATTTTATTATGGTTTAACTTTATATTCAATATTGATATAAAAAATTTTTTTTGTAAATTTAAATAGATATTAAATTATTTGAGACACAATTTAGACATATTGGTATTGTTAAATCCTCATAAAAATATAGTTATCTATAATTTTGTAATGGGTGATTTTATTTCTAAGATTACTCAAAAACATGAAGAAAATGATTTTGTGATCGTGTTTTGTCCATGTTGGTCGTGGGCTAGAGAGAGAAAACAAATAGGGTGTTTAAATTATCTTAAAACAATTTTGTAACTTATAAGACAAATTAATAATGTAAGTACTTGTCTGCCCAACAAAACTTTCAGCGCAAAGCATATGATTTTAAAATGGTTTGTTGTCTGTTGTACATTGTTATTATATGCTTGACGCTGTAAGGCAGACCTACTATTGTATTATTTTGTCTTGTGGCTTACAATATTTTCTAAAAATAATAGAAGGCAGTGTTAGTCTGTGGTAGTTGCAATAACATGCTGAATTGAGTAATGAGTTCACTGAAAAATTGCATGTTTGGAGAGTTGTAATAACTGATAAATACCAATATGTTTCATGTTGATAATACATGGTTGAATACAAATATATAGGTATATTATAAAAAAATAATAAATAATATTAATATACCTATTATTATACAAAGATGAAAATAGGCATTTGAAAATTTGTGTGTATACAGTATTGCAGAATATATGGTATGGTGCTGAATCAGTACATAATGTGAGTAACAAAATTATGGCCACTCATTGGAAAGCATATATTACTATGTTAAAGAAGTATGCTGCAGAGCTAAAAGATAATATCATAAATGATGAACAAATTGATTTTATATGCTCAGAAATTAAGAAAACAATCTCATCTTTCCACTACAATGATGAAGCCTCATTGAAATTATCAATGTATATGATGAGTGTTTTAGTTAAACTTTGCTCGTATGGTTGTGTATCAAAATCTCATAACGTATTATTAGAGTTTATTTTATTCTTAAATAGGTATGAATATTATATGAAAATATCCTTATAATCAAATACAATTTGTGTTTTTTTCATTTATTATTCTAGCTACTGGTTATCTGACACACAAGATGCTGTTGCCGTCAAAGATAGATTATCACAATTTGTTAATCAGTTAGTGTTGTTATTAGATGATACATTTTTGGAGGTAATTAAAAATACTATTCAGGTATTTATAATTAACAAAATAATAGTTAAGAAGCCAAATAAAAAACTAAACTTTAAACTTATAAATAATTATGAGTTCTAATTTTGCTATTTCTTAGACATTTCAGTCAAGCTGTCAAGAAATAGTTAATAGCAACTCTTCAAGTCGAAAGATGTCTGCCATGTACATTGCAATGTTGCTTATAAAACGTCTAACAAAAACTCCATGTGATAAACAAGCTCATCAGATTATTTGCATTGTTTTTAACTTGATGAAATCTGCGAATTCTGTAGTGTGTTGTTACAATGTAGATATCTACGAAGATCTACTGATTAATTTAACGTCAGTAATACTAGTGTCTGATTACAGTTTGTTTGAAAATGTTGAGAACATTTTAATTGAAAATATTCTCAATATTGAGTATTGGCCAGCTATGTTTAGTACTGATTTATGGATAATTATTATGAGGTTTGGTTTTCTTTTTTTCTTTTTCTCAAAAATACATACAAATAAATTCCAACTTTGTTTTAGATATTTGTCACCAGATTTACGTATCTTACAATTTTCAAAATTAGCTAGACTTTTTGAAGCATTGATCGTTTTTCCATGTTTTACTCAATGTCCACAGCATATTTATCTTGAAATGTTGTTGAAAAGACATTTCTCTTTAATAACAAATAAAAATCAATTAGTGAGTTGTTGTCCTCAACTAAAATTACAAAGTCTGAAATCTACTATTGGAATACTTCATGTCTCAACACTTTCAAAATACAATCAACTATCAGAAATGGTACTTAAAACTTATTCTTTTTTGCTGCTTCAAAGTTTCTTATTTTGTTAATTTGTGTTCAAATTTAGAGTTATTGTCTATATTTAGTTTGATATAGCATGTTCATGGAATCAAATAAATCATATTATAATAATAGAATGCTATTTTCTTTTATATAGATAAAGATCATAAGTATATTACCAGAGCAAACAAATTTTGAACACTTAAATGATGATATAATACATTTATGGAGTTCTATTGAAGACGAGTACCCACCAGAATTCCTATGTGCATTAGTTGAAGTCAGTATTTGTTCCGAAAAATTACTGAAGACAATTATCCCAAAGGTACAACAAAATTAAATTAAATTATAATATAAAAGATATTAATTAAAAAATTGTATTACCATCCTATCAAATATTGTTTATGCTTATTATTGTTGATTTTTAGACTACAAAAATACTGAGTAGCTGGGCTAATGATGATACTACAGAAATGAAGCGATGTAGACTACGGTTGATTCAATCAATATTATTGCATATGCCAAGGTTCCATGTGGAACTGGTTATGGAAATTTTGCTTCGGTACTTGTTTGATCGTCATCCATTAGTACAACAATGGACAGTTGAAACTATAGTGTATATTTCCAGTGTTACTGAAAGTCAAAATAACTTAATTTATGTTCTCTTTAAACAACCTAAAGTTCGAATTATTATAACAGATTATTTGGAAATGAAAATCAATCATACTTATAATCATAATGATTTGATACAATATTTTGAACAATTATCCCTTTGTGGAAAATTTCAACACATGTGTTCATTTAATGGTAAATTGGGTAAAGTATTGGATACATTAAAAAAAGATATTGACTGTTTGAATGATATAGTAAGTAAAACTCAAATAACCACAGATGAGCTGGGAAGATTAAAAGAATATTCATATCTTTTAAATAATATTTGTGAGACAATGAATTAAAATATTGAAAATTTTTACTGTTTAAAACAGAATGGTACCTTAAATCAATATATAGAATGATATTTTAACTGTATATTGTAATTTTACTCATTAGTTACTATTTATTCATTTTTAATACATTTTACATTTAATAATGTTTTTCTAAATGTATGAATTTGTAAAAGCATAAATCCATTAAAAATATATTTACTAAAATAAAATTCTTCTTTTGTGACAATTAATATTTTATAAAAAAACTATAAATTCTAATTTTACCAATGATTTCTTTCCAATATCAAATTAAACTGAAGTAAGTTTTAATCGAATATGAGTACAATGTACCATGTATGTCATATTTTCGAAATTGTTTATAGTTATAATATTATATAAAATAGATAATAGAATATCATAATGACTAGGTTCTACTACTGTAGACACAAAAGAACAAAAATATTTTTCAGATAATATGAACATTTAAGATTTTATTTTAGTAGGTTAAGGTAATAAAAGTATTTATTATGGCACTATTAACAGCTATTTTTCAGGGATGGCAAAATGTAGTCTTACCTATGTGTAAAATCTACTATCTCCGTCTCTGTAACATTATAAATACTAAAATATACATAATATTATACAACAATTTAACAATAATAAAAAAAAGGTATCACTTTCTTATTTTGTAAAACTTTCGATTTACAATTAATTATATTTTAACAAATTAAATTAAAATAAATTAAATATAATATTAAAATATTGTTAAGTGGTAAGTGCAAAATTTAATATTTTATTAACACATTTTGTTGTAAATTTATTTAGACACCTAATTATGGTAACCTTTTATTTTATAAAAAAAGAGTGAAATATTATGGATTTTATAATAATTAATGATATGGTGATGTGTCCAAAGTATCCAAAATGTTGAGTTTGAGGAGATCTGCAGGGTTGTAACAGGACATACAATTTTCCTGAAATATATAGTACAAATTATTAATCAATTAATTTAGTTTACCAATAAATTTATTTCCTTAAAGATGTAGGCATTCGGTATCATTTTGTAATTTAATAGAGAACAAGTTTATTAAATAACCACCTGGTATTTTTAAATTAAAATATTAATTTGTCAATATATTTACATTTTGTATAGTATTTCTTTTCTATTTTTAACATTTCCCAATTCCGGTTTAGATAAGTTACTTAGTTACTCATAGGTGCCAGGTGGTAACAAATTAGTGTTATAATTTCAAATAAAAAATGAAAAATAAACAATATTAAAGATGTTCTTACTATCATTGATAGAAAACTATTAAGTGTAGATAAAGTAATTGAAAAATAAATGAATAGTGATAATGTGCATTAATATATAAATATATTAATTTTTTAAATATAAAATATCAAGAATTTAATATATTAATAATTTAAGTTGATCAATAGACTCTGTTTCAATAAAATTAGTTCCTACTTATATTAATATAAATCTGAAATTATATTGAAAAATATAACCATTAAGAAATAATTTGTCCAAAAATTAGTGTCCGTGAAATGTACACTTAGTTTTTTTCATAAACAAAAATGATGTGTTTAAAGTGTGTATAACAAAATGTAAATACTTAAATATTCTCAATAATTTTTCATTTAATAATTAAATTTAAAATACCATACTATAAATATTATAAAATAATAATTTTAAAATTCATCCTGGTTTGTTATCTAATAATAGATACCTTATAATAGGTATTTTTTCTTATTCATGTACCTAAGACTAAATATGAAAATCTAAACTAAACTAAATCAAATACCAAAAATCATTAATATTTATATGAAATTTGCATTATCTCTGTAACTTGTCGTGTTTTTACTTTGTAGTTTGTTTTGATTTTAAAGATAGATTGGAAACAGTATCTAGAAACCTACACTATTAATATTACATATATTAATCTGCGTTCAATAATAATATGGATTTTTTAACTAACAAAATACGTCCACAGATATTACTATATTAGAATTAGATACAAATGTATTGTTAATAGAATAACATATATGTCTAGGACATATTTAGCTACAACTTAAGTACCTTAAATGCTGATATACCCTTGGAAAATTAAACATCAATGCCATTATATTTTTATATTAACACAAAATAAATAATAATCGTATAAACAAAATATTTTTGTTACTTAATACTTGTTAGTTATTTCAGTATCACTAATCTCGGGACAGTTTCGCAATATAAGAATCTAGAAAATTTACTGATATAATTTTAGCAAAATCTCATAGATTTCATCGATTCATTTCATTCAACACACTCATCTCAGTTTTCTAGAACATCTAGATTTCTCACGTCATTCATCTTGATCATCTCACAGCTTTCATATTTAAAATATGCATTTCTATCACAATTCACAGTAGTCATTTCATTCATTTTCGCCGTTTTCACTTTTTCAGAATCAGCCTGCATCTGTGATAGGGTGATAACAGTTTTATCACTGTTTCGATTTTCGACGTATTCTTATCACGTCTTGTAGTATGATAAATGTTATCCTAATCACATTAACAATATCACTGCAAAACAACGAAAAAAATCTACTAATTTGTTAATTTATTTAGTACATAATGAATGACAAAACAGTTTTTTTAATGTATAAGACTAGATTATTTTTTTATTATATTGACTGAAGTTACATTTTTATCGTGTTAATTAGACAATTAGTGTAAGTTTATTATTATTCATTCTGTGAGCTGACAGTAGTTTGCTGTTGAAACAATTGAGTCAAGCGAAACATTTCTCTCTGTAAAATGCAAGAAGAAGAAAACTTGTGGTGAGTGATCAATTATACAATTATGTTGCATAAGTATGGAGTACGGCTATACTAAGCATATGATGTCAACAGTAGAACACTACTGCTTGGTTTTAAAAACGTCCGTTTGAGTTTGAAAATCATTTAATCATGAATAATATCAATTAGTAATATTTCCATTCCATTCATCTTAACGGTTGATCTTTTGTAACTGTTATACATCCTCTCGGCCTCACATATACAGACATTGATCTACTATTCTACGTTTTGTTATAGGAATTCCATGTTGATCTCATTAAAAGAAAAGGGCGGGACCAGGTTACCAACAGATAAGTCTATGATTATAATAGGTAAATTATAATAAAATTATACACTTTTCCATTATAGTGCCTACAAGTAGTTTAATATTTATATTTTCCAGGTGATAACCAATGTGGTAAAACTACTCTTGTAGCAAAGTTGCAGGGTATTGACGATTTGACAAAGGGAATTGGACTGGAGTATGCGTATATTGATATTCGTGATGATTATAAAGAAGGTTAGTTAGTTATAAAGTGTTCATATGTGTTTTGATTTAACTAAATATTTAGAAATACCATTCACTTAATTATATATTGGATATGTTTGATTATGAATCCAACATAAAATTACATTTTTTTTCTAGATCATACGAAATTGAATGTATGGGTACAAGATGGCAACCCTAAATACTCGTTTCTATTAAAATTTGCTTTGTCCGAGAGGAACTTTAAGAACACATTGATCATGTTCGTCGTTTCTATGAAGACCCCTTGGAATATAATGGATCAACTAGAAAGTTGGGCAACATTACTGCAAGACTACATTGACAATCTACCAATTCCTAGTGAAGATCTTAGAGAATATAGACAAAATTGTAAGTGTCGACTATTGAATTCAGTTAAAAAAAAAACAATTTTCAAGACAACTAAATTATAACCATTGAATTTGATGAATTTTATTTAATTAATTACATTTTAGTAGGTATTATAGAGAATAATAATTGATGAATTTTATTTATTTAATTACATCTTAGTATTATAGAGAATAATAATTACAGTTAAATTAAATTATAGGTGTATATTATATTAATATAATTAATGCTATCAGATATTAACATGATGTCCATGATAGTATGTTATTCATTTAATTTTAAACGTTTCATTTTATTATACTAAAAATATTACCTATATTCAGCATAGGTACTCATTCTTAATTGAAATAAATAATCGATAAAAGTATCTTTCATTGTTTTATAAATCAAGTAAGACAAACTAAACAAATATTTAATATACCTAATAATAATTATAAAGTTTTTAGGTAAACTACTAAATGTTATCATAATAATATGTAGAAAAGTTAAAATAATTATATATTTGTTAGTTATAAATACTATAATATATTAATATGTTACATTATAAGGTACTTATTTTATACCATTCTACATAAAAAAAAGTATATTTTTGGTACTAAAAATACAGTGGATTACTCTTATTACAATGCCCTATATAACAATATTCTGGATAAAATGATTCCCAGCCATGTACTTGGTTGGTTGTATATCTCTTGTGGAGTATGTTTTTGTCATCCGTATTTATCAAAGTTCTTATATACCTATCTGATTCTCTAGATCCCTTGAAGATCGTTATTAGTGATTTCTACTGTATTGTAAATATGCTAACTAGTTAATTAATCTTTTTAGACATATTTAAAACTAATTTATATAAAATGTATTAATTGCTGCAAAACTCTCGGTTACACATTCATTAATAATTTTATTATAATTCTCACCTTCTTTAACAATATTTCAATGAACATACAAATTTATAATTTTTGTACACATCATTTGATTCAAAACTACCATTGAAAAAAAAAAAAAACAAATCATTTAATTTATTACACCTCTTATTACCTATATATATATTTTTTTTTTCAAGAAATTACCTCTGCTTCAGTGGCTATTGGAGTAATAATATGATATAACCCATTTTAAGCTTAAACTAAATATAATATATTAATATTAAATTCAATTGTTCTTAGATTTTAAATATTATGATACAAATTTTATATTAAGTATTATGTTTTTGAGTAATTTGTTTGAAGAAGATATGTCGAGAGTCGGGACTAACATTCTGTATACCTACAAAAGCTATGTTTACTGTTTCTCATATTATTTAATTTTGATAAAAGATTATTTTTTTTGTAAAATTTTAGATTTATTATATTATGGTAGGTATTTGCTGTTTTTTCTATCTGACTGAACTTTTTTGTCTCTTATTTATAGGCATTAAAAAATGGAACGAATACATTGAAGAAAATATTGGTGATAAAAATGGGTATTGGGAACCATCCCTTGGAGATGGGGTACTTACAAGAAATTTAGGTTTAAATATAATTGTTGTTGTAACAATGGTATGTATATTGGTATTCTTGATAATATTCTTATTTGCTTATTTTTATTAAGAGGACGTCTTACCGCATGCACTGACTCTGTCTTAATGACGCATAACATAGTAAAATTTATACTCAGAAGAATCCATCCTCCATCCGTCCTCTTAAAATAATTGTTTAATCAATGTTAATTATTGTTTCATACATTATTATAGACTGATTACATAAGTTTTTTGGAAAAAGAAAATGACTACAAAGATGAACATTTTGATTTCATACAACAAGCAGTACGCAAATTTTGTTTACAGTATGGTGCTTCACTATTTTATACATCAGCTAAAGAAGACAAAAACTGTGATTTATTATATAAATTCCTTACACATAAGATTTATAACTTTCCATTTAAAACACCAGCATTGATTGTCGAAAAAGACGCAGTTTTTATGTAGGTTTATTTTTTATTATCAATATTTAATTTTAAACAATTATTAAATTGTAATTTTAAAAAGTTATGAATTTAATAATCAATAACATTTTATTATTATACATAAATTACGTGTTCATTTTTATAAACTTTCATAACATGCAGTGCTTGGTTTTATGTTTCAGACCAGCCGGATGGGATAGTATGAAGAAAATTAGTATTCTCTATGATAACATGCAGACCATAAGACCTGATGAATTTTATAACTCCATTATAACAAAAGTGAATACGAGAAAGGTTTGTATTGCATGCCATATGACAATTCACACAAATATTGTATTTTATTACCCAATAGGAATACACAAAATTATAAACAGCCTTCAAGCTTAAAAACTTTATATTGCTCGCTCGTACGATCTTCACTAGAGTTTGGATCCATAATTTGGTCTCAAAACCATTCTACATACTTGAATGATCTCGAGATTGTCCAATATAAATTTTTAAAAAGAATAGCTTACGTCTCTAATATGCCTATCTCTAGTAATATATTTAAACCCGTTTAGTTATCAATAGGTCTGGATTCGATCGATCTAAGAAGACAACTCTCTGATATATTATTTATATATGATCTATCAAATGGTTTTATTGATTGTCCACATCTACTGGCTTTACTAAGTATCAAGGTTCCCACTTTCTTCTCCAGGACCAATGATTTATTTGTCATCCCCTACTATCGCAAAAGTTATGGTGCCGATTCGTTTTTCCCTCGCGCTCTGTCACTAGCTAATAAAATATCCCCATCAATAGATTTTTTTGATTCTAGTCGTAATAAATTTAAGTGCAATGTATTATTAATATTAAGATGTATAATGATGTTTAATAGTTATTAATATTTTCCATTTAAGTAATTAGTTGTATTTCTGTATTTGTACTTTGTATAGTTCTTTATTATTTTTTCCTTTTTGTTTATTGTAATCAAAATATGTAAGTTTCCGTTCATATAATTTGTCAATTGTATTATACCTTATATTCAAAGGCTCAAGCCTATCAAATCAATTAAATAAATAAATAAATAAATATGTTTTTCTCAGGCTTTTGCTAAAGACCATGAAATCCAAGCAGAAGATGAACAAGTATTTTTGAACAAACAATTAGGATTACTAAACCAGAGTGCAAGCCAACAGTCACCCATTGGTATACCAAGGCAAGATTCTGTAATGAGATCACTGACAGGTGTTTCTAAGTCAGGTGATAGACGTATGTCTTTAACCAGTCAAGGACAAGGTTCTCCAACAAAAAAGGTCAGATAGCTCCCTAAAACTTTTGACATTTTCAATGGTTTGATTTTACATATAACCAATTTTTTTTTATAGATTGATCCAGTAAAATCGACTAACACGTCGACCCCAGGTGAAGGAGTGTTGGCTAACTTTTTTAATTCCTTGTTGCATAAAAAATCCAATCAAAGTCCTGTTTTGACCAAAACTACAGGTAACTACATATTTTTCTTGCTAAACCTATTGTCATATCATCATCGCACCGTAACAATCCAAGTTATTTTAATTGTATGTTAAAGGTGAGTTGTCTGGTTCAAAATCTTTATCCTTGGAGAAAACTGAATATCATACAGACACAGCAGCTGAACTCGATAGATTAGCTAAACGAACATTGAACTTATCGCATGAAATGTCTACTGAAATAAATTCGTCTGAAAATGGAATTGAGGAACAAATCTCTACTACTTTTGGTGAAAAATCATCATCAGAATGTTAATTCTGGGTTGATAAATTATTTTTCCTATTTTTGTGATAATCTAATAATCATTAAAGTTTTGTGCAATTTTATTTAATTTTTTTTTTAGCTTAGAGTGAACATACAAAATATTTATTTATTTATTTTTATATCAAACCTTTAACTATTATTTTATTATTTTTACTTTAATCATACTATTGCACGGTATGAATTTTTATTTTAAAATAGTCATTAATTCTTGTATAACTTAAGCCAAACTTAGATAAAAGAGTTGTAACCAGTGCTCGAAGTGGGGGGGGGGATACAGAGGGATGTCATCCCTCTACTTTTTTGTTAGATGAAGAATAGAAGAATGTTATGATATCAGAAGATCTGAATTGAAAGACATCGTGAGCCATTTTGACCACTGGTTGTTACAAAACACACCTTCCCTAGGATATGAAACGATAAGGTGCAATATTACAACATAATTTTTATTTTTATACATTCTATTTATTTCTAAATCTCAAAATTATTTAAATTATTCTACCATTATTTTATGTTTGGTTTGTTTATAATTTAATTATATTGTTTGTTCAAATAATAAAACAGAAAACCATTAAAAAACTTTTCAGTTAACTGTGTGGTATTTATAGTGTGGTTAATAATTTACAGGAAAACTACCCAATTGAATATAGTTACAGTTTATTTATGTTTGTCTATTTTTTTATATTGATTAAAATATTAATTTATATTTCATTATTAAATGTATAAAAGATAAATATAACTAAAAACAAATTGCCCTATCACAACATTTTTTAAATTTGGTTTTGTGTACATTGTACATATTATCAATCTAATATGTGCATGTGCTAAGTTAATTATAATATTTGAAGTATATAATACACGACCCTTGACTATAGCTTTCAATTTTAACTATTATCTATATTCTATATGTTTGTATAGTTTTATAGTTTTATAAAATTTGTATTTTTTTTGTATTTTTTAGTATTATATTATATTTGTTATCGTGGTGAACATGCACTTTAAATTTTTATATGAAATTATTGTAATACTTTTTGTACACATTTAATAGACTATTTTATAACGAATAATGATCGAGCTAAAACAAAATATTTTATGAATAATCTAACGCTACTTATAATCACATGTGTTTTTTATTTTATTATTAATAGAATAAACCATTTGTAATAAGAAAATAAACAACTAACCGTAATGATATTATAATGGTTCATATTATATTATTTTTGAATATAACAATTATTTATTGAAAAATTATTCTTTTTGATTAGTTATATAAGTATTTGATTAGACTGTTTAAGCTTTAAGAGGATGCCGTACTAGTGTTTATTATCTCTGTCTTACACACATACTTATTAGTATATATACAAGTTTCTTACTAGTTACGGTGTTTATTTATAGTTTATATTAGAGAACATTTTTCATATAATAAAATTTTTTGAGGAGGAAATTACTGTGCTTGAGCCAAGATAATAATAAATTATAAACATATGAATAATTTCAAATTTCAAATAAATTTTACTGATTTTACAATAAACAAGTAAGAAAATGCTTAGCTGAGTACATTTTATATTATACTCTACGCTCTACACATTTGATAACGTATACTTGACGTATACTATAACCAGGGCTCGAAATGGACCGGAACGCACCGGAACGCAGTTCCGGTTCACGACAAAAAAATGTTTAGCGTTCCGGTTCGTAAAAAAAATACGTTTATCGTTCCGGTTCAAACAAATTTTTACTGTCACCTAAAAACCAAAACGAGTTTAAAAAATGCTGCTATTTCATTAGAAGTACAAATTTTGAAAATTGGTAGAATTTTGTCAGTTCGATGGGTAGCATCAAGCAAACGGACAGTTAATGCAGTCTTAAATAATTTTTCTGCTTTGTGTGAACATTTCAACTTGGCTTCAATGGACCCTACCAGAGACTCTAAAGGAAGAAGTAAATACTGTGGATTGTTTAAAATGATAACAAGTATAGAATTTGTTAGTAATTTAAATACCATGTCTGATGCTTTAGACGAATTAGGAGATTTAACAGAATATTTACAAAAACGTAGTATTACGTTAGTAGACGCTGATAAATCTATAAGAACAACAATACGTGTATAAGATTCTATGGCAACCGATCCGGGTCCAAAACTAACTGACGCATTAAAAGAAATAAAGAACAAAATGTCGTATAAAAATGTAATATTACACAGTGGCAAAGTTCCTAAAATAAATTCTGCACAATTTTACAAAAGCCTAGCTAATAATTTAAAATCTCGAATGATGACTTCCAGTTCATCAAATGTCAGTCGTAATGAAAAAAATCGCCAAGACAATGAAAAAACGTTTAAAAACTTACTTGATAATATTGAAAAATTGAATCCAAAAAATTGGCCACTTTCGAATGATGGCCAAATAGAAAACATACAATTTGGTGACCATAATATTCGTAATTTATGTCAACAATTTCAAATTGATGAAAAAAGCACTATTCAAAGTTTTAGAATTTATAAAATGGACTTGGGCAAAAAGGAAATTCCAGAAGATTTGAAACCCCTTTATAAATCAATTGCAACGATTCCAGTATCGACTAGCGAATGTGAACGAAATTTTAGTTCTATGAACGAAATCATGTCACCACTAAGAACTTCTTTAAATATAAAAACTGTTGCTGCTCTTTTATTTATTAATTATGTTGGACCACCTCTAACGAAATTCGAACCAGAAAAATACGTTCGATCTTGGTTATTGAATGGTCGACATTCAGCTGATGATACCGCAAGTCGTAAAAGAAACCAAAAGTGTGATAAGACCTACGAATCACTGTGGAGGTTATTGTAAAAAAATTGTATTGACGCTGTACCTTTTTTAGTTATAAATATAGAATTTAAATAAATATAAGTTTTTAAGTAGTTCTTTTATATTTATATTTTATTTTATAAAATATATACATATTCGTAAGTAAGTAAAAGAAGGTAAAAATATATTTAAATTTTTAAAAGGGCTGAAAATATAATGTGAGTTTCATAAAATAATAGACGCAACTTATTTATTATTAAAAAAGGGTTAGTAATTTTGGTTGGGTGAAGCCCCCAATTCTATGGTATGTACTCAAAAAAAAGCGTTCCGGTTCAGAAAATTTTCCATTTCGAGCACTGACTATAACGTATATTTGATCTAATATTAACTTAATAAAGATAAACTGTAGTGTATATTGGTTTATTGTGAAAGTATAAATTATATTTTATACAGAGACTTAATAAGATATATTTATGCGAAACCATATTTTTAAATTTTTAATAATAAGCTACAAAATGTGCAAAAATATATTTATTACTTATTTTAAATCTTAAAAGTATTTTAAATTTTAAATATTTTTTGAATGGATGTTTTATGAGGACATTATATTATGTACCAGGTACCTAACTATTAAGTAAAAACATTTTAAATTTGGAAATTTATTCAATAAAATTAAAAAATTAAAATAATACTTAACTTTTTATCTGAAGGATACTATTATTATTTACCTATTGTTAAAGATAAACCAAAAAAAAAAAAAACACAATATTCACTTGGATTTTAAATAAGTTTTATTCATTTTAAACAATGAACAAAACGTTTTAAATTCATGTGTTAAACATGTTTAGAACAAGTTGCTTAAACATAACAACCCTGAATTAACTATTAACTTAACTGAGTTAAAAAAAATTGGGATAACTATCAGCAATAAGCTTTTCAAAATATTTTCTATCAACTTCACTTAACTCAATTAAAAATTATCATTATCATTAACCAGGGTTGATAAAAAAAAAAAAAACAGTATTATGTGCAATTTAAATGAACTTGCTGCGGTTTTTAGTACGCCTAATGATATATTTGATACTATTGTACTTTGTTATTAAACTTGGTTAAACAATAGTTTTATTCAATGATTGGGAACATAAGTAAGTTAATTCAGACATAACAATTATCACTATCAAAGAATTTTAAATAAGTCAGATAGTATTTAAATTTTCATAAGAAATAGTTTTAATAGTTTGAGTAAATTAAAGGTCATCTAAACAAATAGCTATTATACCACTTTCTTTAATACTCATAAAGCTAATGAATGTGGAGTGTTTCTTGAAAGTTTAAAAAATGTATAATTGTTCTTTTATTTAAATCAAGTGAATTAGAAATTAGTAGTACCTACCTCAAATAGTAGAGTAAACTGGGTCAACAATTATTTACTAGAACAAAATATTAGTAAATCAAAGTAAATGCATTTTGAAATTTCCATAATAAAAGTGTAATAGACAATCCATTAGTAATACACTACCTACTTAAATTGTAAAGTCTTTGATAGTTTATACTCTATTCAAAATAAGAATGGTATATGACGGAACAAGTGAGAAGCTTGAACATATTGATTCAATTTGGGGTGATATTTGATAACAATTTGAGGTGGACTTCACATATTCATATAGTATGATAAAGCAAAAAAAAAATTATAAATTAAAAAAATTAAAAGATATCCTCAATATCATGGTTTTGCTTTTGCGTACAGTTAATTCAGCACTTGTACAATATATAATTAGTTATGGAATTACAATTTGAGGAAATGCATCCAAGACCTTAAACCCTATTATTATACATTTATAACAAAAAACTTCCTATTGAGATTCATACAAAATAAACCTTATGATTTTCACGTATAAGATCTTTAGAGTTCTTTTAGTATAAGAAACCTCAACGGCTTATATCTATGGAAACTGAAAATTGTTTAAATTCTGAGCGGAGCGAGGAAGCTAATGGTTTTACAATGGTGTTTACTAACAAAATTTCTACCAGAAGGAGTGCTTCAACATATAATGCTATACAGTAGGTTACAAGTGGGTCACTGACACTGTATAATGGATTGTATTAAATTTGAATTCAATGATATCATATTATTATCATTGCATACGAAAAACGATTCTGAGCGGAGACGGTTTGTCAGTCTGGATATTTTATATTGTTATTATAGGCCTGCATGTTGAATTAATATTATAAATTACAACAAAATAAATAAAATTTTTATTTTTATTTGTTTTTATGTGATAAACAAAGCATTAGAAATTAAAAAACCATTTTACCAGTTTTTTTTGTAATTAATTGATGGCTTTTCCAGTGGCATTAAATAACAATTGAGAAAATCGAAAAATGACCTCTTTAAAGTACCACCTTGATCCAATTTTATAAAAAATAAGATACTATATGTTGATATCAAAGCACACCTTTTGGTAGAAATTTTATATACAAAATACAAAAAAATAAACACCATTGTAAAACCAATAGATCCCGTTCAGAATCTAATATATAATTACAATATTATGTCTTTTATTTACACTTATAGCCCCCTTAGCCTCCCCGGCTACGCCACTGATGTATCTGCTTGTTTAAACTTATTATTATTATAACTAGGGTACGGTATTAAAGGCAATATAATCAACAAAAAAAAGCATTCAAAATGTCAAAAAAGAAGCATTTGATTTATATAAAAAAGCAATTAAAAATAAAATTTACTAAAAAATTAAATAGTTTGTATGTTGTATATTTAACTAGTGTGTACTAAAAAAAAAATCACTATCATGTACTTAGATAAACTGTCTTCAGTAAAACGTTGACGGTTTGGGCTTAAAATATTTTTATACATAGAAACTGTAATTGGGGTGGACTGACAAAAAATTTAGGATCTTTGGTAAGTAAGAACATATTAAAGTATGTAGTATGAACATATTTTAATCTATAGATAGGTAGCATGGGTACTTTTATAAATATTAAATTAACTGGCTATTCCAAATACTCGATAAAGTATTTAGCAATATCGGTAAATATCGTTGATAATACAACCCATTAAAAATAATTAACATCCGACAATGCAGTCTTCAGAAAATCTTATCGATTTTTAACGTTAATACTTATATGTCGTGTATAAAACTATTAAATGAATTATTTCTCTATTATTATTAATGAAAAAAGGGTTTTGCCTTCAAATCTGAACCTTAATTATAACAATAAAATGATAAGTTACTTATAATTATATTTATTTATGTCTAGATTATTTTTTTTTTTTTTTTTTTGTAAATCACTTTGCAAAGACACTATCTTATCAAAAAATTATATACCTTACTGCAATTTTCCAAATACTAATAGAAAACAAGTACAAAAATAAGTTTAAATAAATTGTATTATAAACAAAGTAAGAACATTTAGTAATCAACCAATCAAGTTAAGATACTCAACATTTTGGGAAATAAACAAAAATAATTACATATAATTAATATTTTTTTTTAATAAATTGGTTTTATGTGATAATAGGGAAACTTTTCATTAATATACTCACATTATAGTACTTAATCATACTTTAAGTACTTAAAATAATACAGCATGACTATATTTAAAAAAAATATTTACTAAACAATGGATTTTCTTTGATTTCTTCTTGCTTTACATTTCTTTTTCTAAAAAGTCCAAATTTATTGGTCTTCTTCCATTACTTTATAAATCATCCTTCTAACAGATTCTTGATGTTTGTTTAAATGATTTATCATTTCTTTAGAACTAGAAATAATATTTAAAATAAATTAAACAATACAATGTATTACAAAATATAAAATTGTTTTCTCTATATTCTTTTTTGAGACAGCTACAAAAGTTAAAAATATATTCTTAACTCACAAAACACTACAACTATGAATGCATCAAATTTTAAGTAATTAAATTGTCAGTTAAAAAAAATAATAGTATTTATATAAATTATCAAAAAAATAATGTTATTCTTATAAGTTAACTTACCATTTTTTGTTTATATTAATTTTATTATTTTTAGTATTCAAAAATAATGTCACCATCACTTTTTGAGAATTATCCTGAAATAAAATAAAATTTAATAATTAAGTAAAACTATGATTATTTAGAAAATTACTACAGATATTGGTGGATGGAACTTTGCTTCTAGCTGATGGTCCTCAACCATTTCAGCAAAAGATTCACTTATTTCCCTTGGATAATTTAACTCATTATACTCGTACAAACCGCAATGCACTCCTTGAGCAGGATATACCCCAAATTGTGATGCCAAGAGTCTAACATTTGTTTTTGGTACTATTTCTATTGATCCATAATCAACATATAATAACTGAAAAATAATTTAAAAAAAGTCAAATTTATCTTTAAATAAATAAAAAATGATGTTTGTTTTTAAACATGATATGAAATTTATATAAAGTAATAAATAAATATTAAATGGTAATGCCATAAGTATTGCTATTAAAACAAAACTTTAATTATAACAATAAATTACTAAGTATAATTTTTAAAAAATGCATACAAAATCTGGGTAAAATTAAAGTATAAAATCTATAAAACAAAATTACTATATTTAAAAAAATATATAATGTTAACATACAAAATACAGTTGAACCTCGGTATCTCGAAGTTTCTGTATATCTAAAAAATGTTCAGTCCCAATCATTCATGCAAATATTTTAAATTACCCCGGGAACTCAATTTTTTTTTTATCCCTTAGAACAGAGGTTCACTGTATCAATAAAAATATATATACAACTGTTATAATCCCGACTACTACAGTTGAAATGTTGGAAGTATTTTGAATAAATCCACGAAGATGATTGTAATAATTTGTATTTTATTTAACTCAGTAAAATAATATTGCAAATAATGTCTAAGTCCAATATATTAATTTAATTTGAACTGTTATAAGCGAGTTGTGACTAAGTATTTAGCTTGGTGTTCTATTCGAGTTGAGGCTGGCTGCTCGTCTGAAGGACACTTGGCCACCAGCGTATTTCATCGGGTAGTCCTATTAGATCCCTACTATGGCTTTTTAATATAAAAATGATACACGCGCTGTATACGCTTGAGGTTATTTTTGACGTCATTCGTATAATTATGTTATTCACGGAATATAATATTTTGCATAGTCATGACTTTTGTATTGCTATATTATTAATTTTATCTAGAATACGGTTTATTAAAAATGCATATACTTATCACGTGCTCTATAACACGTCGTGCGGTACCATTGATATTATTACTATTACTTCTATTGATGCATGCCGCCTGGGGTTACACGCACACTGCAGCATTTAGATATATTATTTGCAAAAACTAATCCTAATAATATTATTACCACAAAGTCACAGCTCGCTACACAACTATAGACTGATATTGGCACAATAATAACATCAATACTCATCAAGGTACTTATTGATATCAACAATCTAAGTGTAACTATAGAATAATTAAATTATTGAAATATTCATTTTTCATTAAAAGTACTACCAACACTGGCAGTCTCTTTACATTTTTGGCATCAAAATTACATTTTAAGAAAACTCTACAGAACATAACTAACTAGAATAGCTCCATTAAGTGGCTGAAAAAAAATATTATGAATATTATGATTACTAATTACTAATTACAAGGAGACAGAATGCCAAAAAAATAAATAGATACTGAATTTGATTCTTATTTGATTAATACAATAATTACTTGTGAATTTAACGGGTATATTAATGACTAGATAAAAATTTTAAGATAAGGCAAAATAAGAATGATTTAAATAAAAATATTAAAGTAAACTTATTAACTTAGAAATATTTCTAACCACTTGATACTCCTATTTTTGCAAACAAATATGGTAACTCCAACACATATCCCTTAATTATTTATGTAAAATGTTTTTGTATGTATTTAAATGTGAGTGTATTTGACTTGTATGAATACTGGGACAAGGTTATTTAAACAAATATCTTGTATATATTAATTTAAAAAAAAAACAAATTTTTACTAACATTTTTAGGATCATACAAACAATATATTATATTTAAAAATTTTAATTACTTGCACATTATCATCATCAACTATTCTTAAAACTATAGCCCTGTGCCAACTGTTTGAATCTTCAAAAATTGAGGTACATGGCAATCCCGGGAGAATTAGTGTAGGTATAACTTTGTACTTTTTTTCATTGTCGTTGTAATACACTCTATAACAATGCATAAGTTACAAAGTTAGTAAGTCAACAATGTAATAACAAATCAATTAAAGATTAAACCAACTGCAATGAGTCCATTAAACTATTCAGATTATTGACTTCTGCTGCTAATTGAATGTAAAATGAACTTGGGTTATATATCTCAGCAACAATGACATTTATATACTTTCGATTGTTGAACTTAATTGTAGGATACTTAAATTTTCCGTTGCAGATATCATCGCCAGAATAATGCAATAAAAAATCAGGATCCTGTGTATAATAAAACAATCCAGTAAAATAATAAATCATTTTTTTTATTGTTACAATATATATTAAATTAATTTTCCTAAAATATATATCAATTGAATTTATTTTAAATGATTTATTGTATCATTATTTTCAACAAAACATCAAAATTAAAAGATGATTTACATTTATAGGAAAAGATAACACAACATAATGTGTACTTTGATTAAAAAGTACAAACTATTTTAATACATACCGGTATCGCAACCAAATTGTTATCATAGTTGTCATTATGATCTATATTTTGTAAACATTTTGTATAGGCAAAAGGATTTAATGTAAACAGCTCATTATTTTCTATTTTAACCATTTTGTCTAAAGATTCAAACATGTGCTTTTCGGAAGAATATCCATACTTTAATGGTTCATAAGCTCGGCCATATTCTGTCTGAAAAATAAAATACAACTAAAACACTGGTTGTAAAGAAAAATCACTTTATTATATTACACAGTATAAAGTCATCAGTTCATTGAATTTGACACCAGTTCGATACTTATCAAAGAAATTTGAAATATTATACAATACAGTCTTCGGGATATTCTTATAATATAGTGATGGATCTGAAAATGATATAATATATATTATTGTTCTTAATTAAAAAATAATGGGTATTCATATTATGCCCTGTATAATTCAGAGGCAGCTTGAATGTACTTTATACAGGGACAGTGTGGTGATAAAATATCATTTTAGTGAGTGGGTTTGTTGGTTAATCAGTTAAATAGGTGAGATACAAATAAATTAACATTTTAAACTTTTTTACGTGTGTACTTTGTATAATTATGATAGTATAATTAATAACATATGAGATATGTTGAACATAGAAATAAAATAAGAATAGTCAAAAGCACACTATTGTAATTGATAATTATTGTAACCTCACCTCAAAAAGTAAAAAATGCCTCTTATAGTCTATATTTCTCTCCTAGAAGAAAAGACCACAAAAGACCGCAACCTCTTGCGAAGAGAGTATAGGTATGTCCTATCCGTTCTTATAATCTTAATCCGTGATATGTGATATCAGATAATAAAAATTACAATATTATATTATGTCATTATGAATATATAAAAATAATAAATAATAAATGCTGGTATATGCCATATGGTATTTTCGGTAATTATCCAGGTACGGTATTTTAGGTAATTACCGAGGTACAGTATTTTTTGTAATAATGGTAATTACCGAATCACAGTATACCGGTATTCTAAAATACCGAAAATACCATTATCCCAATATGAATGATTAAGTACATTATGAAAAAAGTTAAAATTATATGTCTTCACTTAAAAATTACTCTTAAACACCAAAATTATGTTTCATAGAGGTTATTAAACAAATTAAACCACCAAAATATGAAATAATTTGATTAAGAAGAACCGTTTTTGAACAGTCTTAAAAATGTAAAACATAACAAAAACTGATTTGGCCAGAAGTAATTTTTGTTACTGAAGTTTTTTATGTAACTTTGGATAAAACCATCATAATGATTGATATAAGATATTATCAAACTGAAGATATTTTAAATAGATTAGCATTTATTTTACCAGATAATTTTAATGAAGATTATTATTTTTTTTTTCTTATTACCACTATATTATGTTTGACTTAAAAGTTTATATGATGATAATATGTGGAATATGATACATAAATACATTGGGGTACCCCAACACTGATATTAGTTAACAGGTTTTTTTTTTAAACTAAAATCACAAACACAATCACTATTACTAACCGTCCAAGTTATTTTCTAGTTCACTTCGTCTACAAGCTTCAAATAGAATAGAATCCTGATTATCTTCAGTTAATTTTACATAAAATACAGTTGGTAACTTGTATGCCATATCCCTCATGCTGCTGAATCCATACTCAGAAAAATTAAAGTGACTGTTATACTCATTCTATAAAATATTTAAATAATTTACCAATAGATTAATCAATCAATGTTAAATATAATAAAGTTATTTTAAAAACAAAAAAAAATCATAATTAAATACAATTTTAGGTAGATAGCTTAAAAATATAAGCTTAAGCTAACAATACGAGTATATATAAAATATTTAGTTCAAACTATTTACTAATATGTAGAACATAATTAATTAAATTACAATATTATCAAGCTATTTTGATAACCATGCATACTTTTATAAATTTTAAATAAATTACTAGTAAATATGAAAACCATTTTGATTATTTAATCGACTACAGAAACAAATAGATCTCTGCTATCATCCTTAGATGTTGCCAAAATACAGAAGTGGTTGTGTAGAAATTACTTAATAGACTGAAAGATTCTTCCCAACATAATATTAGGATTCACCCAAAGGTAAAATCGTGAGCCATTTTTTCAGTTTTAATAAGGAACTCTGAGATAAAAATCGACAAAATGCATGCAAAAAGTATCAAAAAAGACTAGAGCAACAAATAGAAAAAAAGCTGCAAACTTAACTGTAATTGCTGATTGTTGTTACAGTATTATAGATGAAGTTGTTAATGCAATCAATGAAAATAAACCTAGAATCCCTGAACAATTAAGGCCAAAATGACCATCTTCACATGTTAGGAGATGACTTTATAAAATTGTATGAAAGCAGAAAAATACATACAAGTTAGAAAGCAGTAAATATAACACCTAACAGGAGCTGTTGTTATCAAGTCCTGGCCTTAACTTCTTGTATCATAAAGGCTATGATGATAAACTGAAGTCTGAAACTACCCTCATAGATCTTTTGGCAGCATGAAAATATGGCTGTAATAAGATTGAGAACGTTCGACCTTTTTTAGCGTACGATTGAGATCACTCGAAATGGAACAATGAAATAACCGCTGACCCAATAAAACAGTACTATTGAGAACGAAATTAAGTGCAACGTTGCCGAACTATATTCAAGTCAAAATAAAAATGAAATAAAACATTGAATAAAATAATTAAAAATTATAAATTTTAAAAATGTCATAATTTTTAAAAAAATGTGTATTATTGGTACCTACCAATAATACAAACATTCAAAAATAATTTACAATTTAATTCCTCTATATAAATTTCCCATATGTGTTAAATATTTTACTAATCCTTCAGAAGATTTTTTTTGACAGTAGTTAATATAAGACTGTATTGTTTTTGAAATTTTTTCTTCATCTGCTTTTGATGCCTTTTGAACAGTACCCTGTTGAATAGTATTGAGTTTTATTCCTGCCACATAGTGTGTGAGCAGTGCTAATAGTCATAAATATTTATATAGGCTATAGCCATAGCCAATTTTTATATGGCAAAGTTTGGCAAAAATAAAAACTGAGCGTTCTCAATCGTAATAGTCAAAAGGGTCTAAGAAAGGTATCGCCAATAATGACCGTTCTCAATCGTATTCCTGCCGAAAATATAAGTATGAAAAGTCGGTTTGCTATAGAAATTATCAAACATTATCCTATATTCCCATGCCCACATTTTATACCATTTATTAAAGCCTTAGAAATAGGCATTTAGGAGAACTTCTTGGAAACCATAAAAATGAGCAAAGGCCTACTTCAAAATTCTGTCTTAGCTCCAACTCTCATTAATGTATATACCAATGATATACCTTAATTAGTAAAATGTTCAGTTATTCTGACGACATATATATATATTTAAAATTGTTAAACAGGCAATAAGCAAAATGTACAAAAAATAGACAATATCGTATTGGTTAATAATTAACTTATGACTGTTACTTATAATTATTATAAGTAACAGTCATACATCTTATAGTAATGCAATATATGTAATAGTATAGTTAAAGATAACATAACATACAAATAGTAATCATAAAATATTAATAACATTAAAATACACTATATTTTTACAAAGGAACAAATCTACATTATACTTGTTAACAAGAAGCATTAATCTAGTAATGGGGACATTTTGAGAATAGTTAGTTTGATGGATTGGCAGATAAAATGTATTGGATTGCCTGGTACATGAACCAGAAAATTAAATTTAGCTAGTAGTAGTGCAAGACAAGAATGGAATAGCAAATCTGAGGCTAGAATCACGAAAGCTGTTTCTACAATAAGCTTAGACTATGATTGAGATAAGGAAGTTAACCCCAGATGGCCAGATATATGGCAAGATGAAGTGATAAGAAATAAGCCAGGAGACGTTCGAGTAGAAAATGTGTGCATTCTAATAGCTTTTAAAAAGATCCCAGAAGCGACTGCATTGTCGAACACAATATTGGACTACTAACTATACCTAATACTAGGGTAATTTAATCTAGTGCTGTTGTTAATTATATGTCATATGAGTAAATAAAAATAAAAAAATATTTAATGGAATACTTACACCATAAACATTCATAAAATCGTTACATAATATACCATCTTTGTGTTTACTTAAAATATGGCGCATTTTTACTTTCATTGAATCTGATATTGTTTCAGCATCATATATTTCATTCAAATGTACTGACTTTTCACAACTGCAAAGTAAAAAAAAAAAATCAATTGAAAACATTTTTTAGAAGATAGATAGGGTTATAGTTTTATGATAAATTTGCTTATTAAGATATATTATTTCAAGGTTATAGCCATATAATTTATATACAATATAGTAAGTAAATATAATATTTGAACATTTCATTAAGTTTGAGTGAGTTCCTATAGATTTTTGATAAGAATTAAAAATAATATGTATAATGAGGTTATATTAAAAAAAATTTTAAAGTAAATTAACATAACTCAAAAGTTACAATATAATGATTACATTTTTGATAACAAATTTAATTTTCTTTTTATAGATATTCCACAGTTTTTAAAATGTTGAAAAATTAATAATGCCTCGGATAATAAATTAGGGGTTTTCACCTTTTTAAGTCGTGGGACCTATTGTTTTTAAAAATCTCCCGAGCCTCATACGTAATAAATACATACAAGAATGCAGGTTGAAGACCCCTATACTAAAGGAAACAAAGTCTTAAGAGTTTAAAGAACTTCAAATCCCATAAAAAATATTTTTACACAATATTATTAGGATATTAGTCAACTGTAAATAAATTTGAATACTTTATCACTATTTTTTGTAACAACAGATGATTTCAAAATAATGTGTCAATCTAAAAATAAGAGATTGTAAATTATGTTATGCTTACTGTGGTTGGCCTGAATTATCAATGGTAGCATTTATATATTTCTGATCATCGTCTTTGTTTGATAATAGTTCAGATACAATGTTACTTTGATTCAAAATAATGTTTTCTGAATTTGTAACAACAACATTGTTAAATATGGCTAAAAATTGAAATAATAAAGAAGCGTTGAATATTAAACATAACTTTTTTAGTATGTTTAACTAATTAAAATAATTATTTATTATAAAAAATATTGGTTTTAGTAAATAATAAATATTCTATAGTCTATACTATATAGATACTATATTTATATAGGTTCTAACAAAGACCTGATAAAAAAAAAAAGTTAATACTAGTTAAACAGCACAAGTAGTATTGTTATTTGTAATTATTTAATATTAAGTTTATGCTTCAGAATTCAATTTAAAACAATTTAGAATAACAGCATTTTAATAACAAAATAGCATTTAAGATTAGAATTATTTGTATACATCTTAGAACCAACAATTCCATTGATTTATTACTATAGTATTTGTGTTATTGAAAGCATTGAAAATATAATGTAATGAAATTTAAGTCCATCATACAACCAATATTGTAATTGTCAAAGACAGTTATCACAGTCAACAAGAAATAAGAAGGTAGGTACATAATTTAACTAAAAAAATATTATTATTTATGACTTACATGCTTTTTTTAAGGATGCTCTAATAGTTCCTTTTCGTTTGAATATTATTTGTTTTTCTAGACTTACAATACTGTTTGTAGAGCATTGGTTTTCCAACTAAAAAAATTAATTTAAATTATATTTTATTCTATTGAGTAATGTTCTAAAATTGATTAATTAGTTACTTTAAACATATCTGGATACAAGCGAAAAAAGTCCATGTATGATCCACATGAAAATTCTTGAAATGGAAAGGTATAACCATGTTCATTTTTAAATATGTCCAATACATTATTTACGGTAATTGGTTGATCAGATCTGGCAATAATAGCAACAATGGCTTTTTTATAATCATTCTTAGTTTTGTATGAATCTGGAGTGACAAATAAATAAAAAGTTGAAATTTTATTAATTTAAGAAATACAATAATACAATGATAATCCCACTGTGCGTTATTAAAAAAACTGTTTATATAGAATATTTTTAAAATCTCAAAATTATATTCAGATACATCTATACTATTATTATAAAGAGGAAAGATTTGTTTGTTTGTAACAAATAAACTCAAAAACTACAGGACCGATTTCAAAAATACTTTCACCAATAGAAAGCTACATTCTTTGTAAGTGTCATAGGCATAAATTTAGTCTGATAAAGTTAATAAATAATTAATATAAACGTGTAAATTGTATACCTAAAATGGCATGGCGGCAGGTGGGTTTCAAGCTACCTGGGACCTGACCTTTTTTCTTTTGTGTGCGTTTTATCGGCATGTAGATATGAATTAGGGTAGAAATTAGTATTAATTTAATATTGGTTGACATAAGCTATACCAGTAGATCAAGAACAACCTTGCATCAAATCAAATTTTGGAACATTGTCACTAAGGTGAATTAGTCGCTCTTTGTCAGCGACCCGACATAATCGAATTGCCTAAAAAGGTAGCTCAGGTAGCTCAGTTAAAATTACTGCAGTGAGTTACACCCAAAATGAGTTATACAATGCTTTAAATTTTTAAGAGTTGCCATTTTTTAAGGGGAATAAAGTGCACGGGATCGGCTAGTATAATATAAATTATCACCAATCATTTTTTAATGAACATATTGAACATATCGATGAACTAAAGTGTAAATACTAATACATTTTTAGAAAACTGTAAATAATAAAATAAAAGTAACAATTGCTGGATACTTACTTTGTACATCAAAGTTTGCTTTATGTTCTATTTTGGACACAATCTATAAAATTGAGATAGATTATAACTATTAACAAATGTTTTTTTTTAAGTTGATAAATTACATTTATTTAAAGACATTAATTTACTTCTTAGAATAAAATGATTAACTATTATAAATCAATTTAAATATCCAAAACTTAATTATTTATCAAGAATTAGAATATATTATAAAGTGACTTTAATTATAAAAATCATATTTGGGATTACATTTTTGCTTAAATTCGTTAAAATAATTAAAATCAATATATTTCAATATAAATAAACACAACTTGTTATATTGATCTAACAATAAATTACTGGTAAATAAATAGCATTGGTTCAAACATTCAGAGGAAGCAATAATAAAATTAATATAACTGTGGGCTGGTGGTGGTTTTTATTTTCAAAAACTCAGTATAAAATGTAACTAAGACAGCATTCCTACAGAATTATTTTGTTACAATAATACCTAGCTGAACCAGTTCCCAGCAACAATGTAATTGTAATTGATGATTCATGTTTTAATAAATAAATACAAGATGAATTTAATAAGTAACTATAGAACTTTTTAAATTTGTGCAATGATATAAAAATGTTATGTAACTTTGAAAGAAAATAAATCTAATTTAAACAAATAGTGGGTAAAAAAGTATGGCGCTGTTGAAGTTAAACTTATTTCTTTTTGCGAGGTCAAACCAAAACGTCTGGAGTCAGTTCCGTCACTCTATGATGCGTGGGTGCTAAAGTGTTGAGGTTGGTGGTGAATAGGCTCAATCAATCCTGGGATTAAGGCTATGAAAGGTAGCCAAAACCCTAAACCACTAAGAAGCCAGTCATAATCCAAATCTAAAAAATTGGACTAACCCATTACTCAACAAAGTTATAACTATACGCCCAAATCGTAGGGGGGCTAGGGAGGTTAGAACCCTCTAAATATTCCATTAGCACTCCCACACTCACAATGATGTTAAAAATGTTGGCACACCCAGATATTTTAATGGATATATGTCTATGGTTATAAAGCGAAAAACAAAAATTAACATTCGGAAAAAACCAGGGGACTCACAATTATACCGGTTCATACTGGCATTATATATTTGTATTACAATCCTAACGGAAAAAATTGCAACTGCTAAAACAAGGTTACGTACATAGACAATTATATACTAATATCCTCTCTCGATCATCCAGTTTTTCTTATACCTTCTGTAAAGAAGTTTTAACTTTAAAAATTGAATTAAGATTTCTCAATTGAATTAATTATATATGTATACATATTAATCATACATTATTGAACTTACTAAACTAATTACCTTTTAAAGAACTATAAATATATTTTAAAACTCTATAATTAACTACAAATACAACTATATAAGTAATAAATTAAATAATAATAATCTTACTTTATTATGAAAAGGTTTAGTAGTAGACGATATCAATGTATTTTTATCATTATTTTGAGGTGGAACTGTGTCATTATTTTTTGACTCTGAATCCTTCAAACCTACACACAAATAACAAATCTAAGCATACAAAATATAATCGTAATTGACCAACAATTTAACTTATTATTAAAATCTAAAGAAAATTTAATATTATATTTTTTCCCTACATTCTTCTCCCTATAAATACATAAAATACAATAATTATCTTTATATTTAAAATATTATTAATTTCATTAGACTAATAGTTGTTTGTTAAATTTATAATATAAGTAACTTTATGTTTGCTCTATTGCCCATTGGGAGTATAATATTAAATAATAAATAAAATAAATGGAAATAATCTTTTTTATCAATGAATGTAATAATTTACATAAGATATAGTTAAAAAGACTTTAGTAAGTTCTACAAAAATAAAATCACACAAATAAAATATTTGTAAGACATAATATATAAGAATGAAAATGAATAAATAAAAAAAACCACCAAAGCCTTTATTTGTATTATTCAAACAAAGGCTGAAAATATATTATTTTTAAATATACCTACAATATTATTGTTATAAATGAATTTAAATGAAGAAAAACAATAAATTTATATAAACTTATAAGTCAGTAGTCACATGTGAAAATAATTGTGGTATAATATTTTAGAATAACAATCAAATAACTAAAATTGATATGTAAATAATTTTAACAAGTATTCAATGTTGTTAAAATTTAAACTTAATAAAACAAAAAAATTCATACGTCAATAAATAACTCAAAGAGCCAAAATATTTTTTTTCAATTGTATCACGTCTAAAAAATACTAATATAATTATTTAGGAAAAGTCATCAAAATTAGCTAAATCAATTTTAAAAAATAACTAGTGTAAATATTATATACATATTTGTTTTTACTGCTTTAAATTCAAAAGGTCACGAAAGTCAATCAAAATAAATAACACATTATTAAAAATATTATGAAAATCAATAAAATTACCTAATTTTTTCCAATCCCTTCCAGTCTATAAGACATAAACAAAACATAATATTTTAAGAATTCTGTACATTTTTACAGTAGTAAATACAGAATATTATTTATTTATTATGTTCTACAATCATGTTATTACTCAACCAATATTAATAAAAATTAAAAACTAAATAAATAGAAGATTTACTATACTTATATCATGATAGAACAGACCTATTTTGCACATATTGACCAAGTTCTGAGGTGATAACTGATTTGGTCCATGTTGAGAGGATGAATCATAGGTGTATAACTTCTGACAACTATCAGCATGTTGAGAATTATTGCTCAGCGTGATTGTGTTATTATTATGTGCAGTGCTGGTTGATTTTTGGCTTATTTTGTGTTCATTTTCTGTTAAAACACAGTACATAGCTTACATTATATTACCCTAGACAATGCTAATTCTATTAGCGTTGTCACATGTCCGCCTACGCTGAGACGCGCATGCATTGATCCACATTGAAGTATATTGAGATCATAGACTTTATACTAATAGACGGAACATACAGACGGGATGCGGGTAGGTGGTGCGGTCTTTCCTAGCGTGCCAGCAGTGATGCCATTCCTTGCGACCAAAAACATTGTTATTAACACTTACCATATTATAATTACAACTTAATTATTCTATACTGTATAGACCAAAGCCAAATAGACTTATATAATTATAATCCACTAGACTATAGTCTATAATAGTAATAAACTATTATGATAGTATGCGGTGTGTTGATAAGTCACAGGCGCAAATGCACAAGTAAAATTAAAAATTATTGTACAATCCGATAGGTCTTGTGTGCATGTGCGGTGTACTACCTTGATCAGCGCCCTCACGCTTGGACGCCGGAACTACAACCATGTACCGTCTATTAGCGTAAGGTCTATGATTGAGATTAAATTTATGAAACCAGTGTCCCAGTGATCAAGTGTAGTTTTAATTTAAAATTGTATAGGGCCTAATTTTACATCCACCAACTTAGCCATGAGTCATGACCAAGGGCTTACAAGCAATTATTCAGCAATATTTATTTAAAGTTGCAATACACTAATAGTAGCTAAGCTATATTTAATAATAGTATATACTTTATTTTCTGTTGCTTTATATAAATTATGAGAAATTGACCTAATATCTTAAATTCCATATTATTTTGATAGTTTCTACATTAAAAAGTACAACTACACACAAACTATAGTTCATAAATGTATAATATATTAATTTGTATAGTAGATATATTATGTAAATAAACCTACCATATATGTCAAGGTTTTTGGAACCTAAATCATCCACCTCATCAATGTCATCATAATTTAGTTCACTATATGACAATTCTTCTATTTCATCAACAATACTACCTACATAATTAGCAGATGTTGGTATTGTGTACTTTATTTTATCAGATGTCTTAGATGGAAATATTTCAAATGGAGAATCTAAAATTTAAATACAATATAAATAGTGCGTACATTTAAAACCTTTATGTCATCATTTTCAAAATATTAATATTTGTTTTTTAATCTATTTAGGTATTACATAAAAAAGCAGGATATAACAGTTTATTTCAGTGAATATAGTCATGATATTTTATTATGGTTGTGATTAACTTATAATATATCATATACTCTGTATTATTTTGATAGTTACTACATTCAAACAAAGTCTTACAATATGTAAACAATCTACAAGCTAAAGAACATTTATGTATTAAATATATGTATTAAGATATACTGTTTAGATTATTACCTTTAAGGTGTACACCTCCCTTATCAATGTAGATAAAAGATTTTAACATATTTATGGATTCTTCGATATTAGTTGTACCCAATTTCTTATAATCTGGATGATATATTAGACAACTCTTTAATTTATTAATAGTTATTATCTAAAAACCAATTAGAAGGTATTTAATAAAATAATAATAATGTACAATGTTGTAAATAAAACAATAATACTTACTTCTGGACCGGAAGTATTACACAGATTTTCTATAAAACTCTTGAGGTTGGGTGTTACAGTACCAATAGGTTTTGAGCTTAAAGGTTTGATTTTAATATGATCATATCCACGAGCATTGTAATCATACTTAGGAGTGCTATGTTCAAATCTAGTAGAGGTATATTCATACCTAGATGTGCTATGTCCAGTCTTATAATTATTATGATTGTAATCACGAGATTTAAAGTTGGAAGACTTCAACAAGTGATTATTACCACTTCTTCCAACAAAGTTATTTCTTCTAAGACGAGGTCTTTTAGATTTTTGATTTACAACTAGTTCTCTGAGGTGTGAAGTTTTTTTATCAACAATAAGTGTTATGAAAGAACTCATATTTGGGTTTGACGGTATCTAAAATAAAATAATATCAACTATAAATAACACATACCTAATTTAGTACAATAATTAATAAAATATTCTATTAAACCATGCAGTAAGCTTCAAAGTTGTACTTAATATAATATAATATAATAATTATTTACTATAACCATAAGTGGCGTATTTAATAATTTAGTCTCCCCTAGTAATTGCTACCCCTTTCCCACTCTCACAAGACAATTAGAATTGATGAAAAGGAAATGCTTTCGTGCGAAAACCATACCAAATAGTTAAAAAGAAATACAGCATAAACACATAATTATTATCATAATATAATAGGTATCATGATTCATGAATATTTATTACAAGTTTCAAAAAAAATTAACGGATTATGAATAAACTTGTATTAAGTCTTATTAGTAACACCCAAATGGGGAGGAAAACATGGTAATCGATGATTATGTATTTGTGAAAGTTAAAGAGTTGAAGTACCTAAGATCAACTATTACTAACAACAATAACTGGATTCTTGAAGTCATGAGTCGTATACGCAAGGCAGAGAGGATATATTTTGTGTTCCATAAATATTTTAAATCAAAACTGTTCTCAAAAGGAACAAAGGTCAGACTGTAATAAGACCATAATAAGACCAACAGTAACTTATGGGTGTGAGGTATAGTCTACTACTCTACAACTGGAAAACAAGTTACTATTTAAAAAAAATAAAATACTAAGGATGATTCATGATCCAGTGTTTGATATTGAGTTGAACATATAGTATTATAGTGCATAAGAAAAAATATTGAAATAAGACAAATCACTAAAGTTCCATTATTAACAAGTTATATAATTAAACGTTAGTTTGGTCATGATATGCAAAAAATAGAAACTACAAATATAAGAGCAGCAATCTAATGACAAGCGACAGGGAAAAGACCCAGAGAAGACCTAGAAAGCAATAAATAGATAGAATGAGAAAAAATTTAGAAACACTGAATGAAACATAAAGTCAAAGAAGAAATAACTTGTCCGGTTCTTAATTTCATCTTTTACATTATAATGACTTATGACTTATAATAATAAAACATCACTGCACAATATGCTCTCGCCACACCACCCAACCTACCAGTCATATATACTCCGTCTATTAGTATATTAAAGTCTATGCTATGTTTATTTATTTATTTATTGAATAAACGGGCGTGAGCCCAGGTTGAAATAATTAGGTGTACAATACAATCATACAACAACATAATATGAATAATATAACAAAGTATAAAATATAAAATTAAACTAAACAATGAATACAAAAGTAAAACTATTAAAGGAACAACGAATCCTCATTGGCTTATTTCATTATTCTCGTAATAGGTTCATTTTTTAGATAGTTTCTAGTGCAGAAGGATATTAAGAAAGCATGATTATTGCGGGTGGACCTAACAGGAACTCTAAAGTTAATGAGAGAAAGAAAGGATGGGGAATCGATCAAGCCTGTTAGGAGCTTGTTAAGGAGAGAGAGATTATTGAAGCGACGACGGTCAGCTATAGGGAGGATAAGTTAACGGAATCAAACTCCTTAGCAAAGTCAGTATATATGACATCAACCTGTGTTCCATTTTTAAAAGATCTGAATATGTAATTACAGAAAACAAGGTTACAAGTAACCGTTGATCTGCCAGGGCGGAAACCATGCTGTTCATTGGCTAAGATAAAATTTACAGAAGGCTGAATTGCATCTAAGACTAATGACTCAAAGAGCTTAGAAATATGCCCTAAAATAGAAATTGGTCTGTAATTAGTGACTAACGAAATGTCTAATGAAAACTTGTTGTGTAATGACTGCAGTAGGTACCCTTATAAATTAACAAGCAATATAATAATTATTTTTTACATGCAATTCAAGTGAACTAAAATACTGTCAAATAGAACACCTATTGAAACCAGCTCTCTAAAATAAGCTGTGATAATCATATTAAAAATTATGTAATAGAAAATGTAATTTATTTAACAGGACGTCTTACCAGGATACATTTTTAAATTATCATAACTTACTTAAACATATCAATAAAAACCTACATGTACCCCAGATAATAATCTTCCTTTTAAATTTTATAATAGATCAATTCACTCTAATATCAAAACAGCACACCATTGAAACTAGTGAATGAAAATTTGAAATGTTGTATGTGTGTAAGACGGAGACAACACATATAGGTAAGTTGTCCTCTTAATTCATCAACCATACCAAAATATTAAAAACCCCAATTATGCTTGCTAAAAAAAAAGGTTCAACTTACTTTTAAAACATCTTTCATATTTTCCAGCAACTCAAAAACATTCTTAAATCCCAAGTGCTTATATGGTAAATTACAACCTTCATAATCATAGTATTCATTTAATATTTGTGAAATTGTCAATTTACCCGGAGAGCTAGTTAAAAGACTCCGTATAACCATCTTTAAATAATTTAAATCTGGTTGTTCCATGGTGAATAAATGAAATACCTATAAAAAAAAAATATATATAGGTATATTAAGTTTTAATTTTGGTATTGTAAGTAAACAATATTATCATATCCACAAATTTAAGTTAATTTTAAATTTCTAATATTTATAAGGTACCTACATTAGATGTTTTAAGGATAAATAAACACGTTTTGAAATATTAATTTTAGTATAGTCATTTTTGAAGAAAAAAAATTGTGTATCTCTAATTGTTGTCTCAAATTATTGAATTTTATTCAAAATTGTTAAAAAAAAAATGTAATATTTATGAATGAAGCCTAAGTTATGAGTGGTTTAAATAAATGTTTAAGGAGGAAACTAAAATCAAATGTGAAAGTATTATTTTTCTGATGAAGAAGCTAGCTGTAAAACCATATTTTCTAATAAAAACCAAATTATGAACTTAACATTTAAACGCATCAATGATAGTTAGCTTCATACTGATTAGTAGACACACTAACCTGGATGTACCCAACATTGTAAATAAAAATTACAAATTTTTAATTAAATCTTAAGATATAAGAAAGAAAGGTAGGTACAACATTAATTTATACGCCATTGATTTTCAGATAGTGGCCTGAATAAGAAATTATAAAATAATAAGATATTTTTATTGATTGCACAAACCTTAAATCTAAAAAATCTAAAATGAATCAATGAACCGATATTATATAAGGGTGTATGTATTTTAAACATTCCAGCACAATATCTAAAACAATGTTAATCAAAATTTCGGTGCATCCAGAATTCGGTAAAAATCGGCAACACGCAACGAGTGAAAATACTTACGTAGTCAAAAGTTCGTAATACCTCCAGGCTGTAAGCTGCAAAACAGGTATGCGATTCTCACAGGGATTACCGAATGGAATAAAACAAAGTCATGGCCATTGCATATTATTATTAAAAGTCGGCAGGTAATTTACACGTTTTCGTCCGGCCGTGACTAGTAGGTGGAAAAGCCGAAACGTATACGAGCCATGTGAAAGTAATATGCACCGACCACCGGAATGCGATACTAGGTCGACTTCCTATAGGAATCGCTGTTATCAGATTTCGTGCCGCGTTTCTACCATGAAGTAAGTCAACTAGAATCAACTAGAATACACCTAGGAAGATTCGTAGTTCATGGCACTGAGATAGATAAGAGTAAAAGATAAGTAAATCACAATCGGGCCATGGAGGCAAAGTGACAAAACTGAATGTTAATAAATACAACAAATCAATGTCATTCTAGAATCGCATAGAATAGGCGGACGTAATATTACCATAGTATTGACGGATGTATAATATTTATATATATACTATACATATTATATACCTATATATATATAATATATACATAATATATATATATATAACATAATATTGCAAATAATAAATGAAGTAGGTATCAATAGATGTGATATTGTAATACTCAGAATAGATTAGGGAAATTTCGCAAGTGCGGTCAAGTGCCACATTCGGGAAAGTAGGATAAACTATAAAGTAGGTACTGCTTTGATAGGCAGAGAGAGCGGGGATAGGACTATAAGAGGGACCCCGAAACGGACTGTAATCAGACTTGTACGCTCAATTTTCTATTCAGTCTTCACGCTAAACTGTGTGACGATATTTTGATAAATTTGAACTTGGACATTATTTTACTGAAGAACATATTAATAAACACTTTGACTTTCAACCGTCTACTATTTTGTCAACATCATCCTGTATTATCCTATATCATCACGTATATTGCCACCTGCAACCCTCTAATCCAACAATCAAGCCGATTGGCGGAATACTATACATACTTACACGTCACTAGAGAGCCTTTATAAATTATAGCCTTTATGTATTACCTACCAGGCTCACTACACGTCTCCTTTGATACAGACCACGGACATACACTTACCTGAAGTCACTAATCACGGCTACAGATAATTAATAATTATTATCATCTTAAATCGCTACATAAATATCAAATAATTGTAAATATGCAATAATAATTAATATAAAGAGCGATCTTTGAAGATTTTTAGTTTTATAGAGCAAGAAATATCAACTTTAATCGTGCTACCTATAAAGTTACAATAGTGATTACGAATGGCTTGGAATATTATCCGTAGTAACCAATGTTACCATTAAAACCATTTTTGAGTGACTGTTTTTACCTTTTTTGAGCAATAAATTTATAAAAATGCTTCAATTTTCTACATCAGCATCTTTTCTGGTAGGAATATGAATTTAGTTGATGATTTGAGCCTTGGCTCTTGATGATTGAAAGGTCAATTTCTAATAGTTTTAAAGTGTCGAGAAAAACAAAAAAAGTTAAGGAAATAAGTAATCTAAGTTTGACAAAATTGTTTTTGATTTTTGGCTTAATTTTTAAAAAAAAAACAACAATATAAACATGACATTTTCACCGAATGTTTATATTGGCATTTTGATTATAAGCATAATATATAATTTATGCGTCCATGTCTATCCGTCGGACAAATAAGAACTCGTACTTAAAAATACACAGGTACCTACATCATATAATAATAATATACCTATAGGCTATAATATAATATAATATAATATAATAATAATATTATATTCCAATTCTTAAATATTGATTTGAGATTTGTGATTTGTGATTTGTGACAATAATTCCCAGTAACCAGTATTATTTATATAGTGTATACAAAATTAAATTTCCTAAAAATTGTAAAAATAGACATGATTTATTATACCAACAACCGGCCCATCGGGATGCTTATTCAATATCAGATATTATTGCTATGTGCCTTTGGGAAAAATTCAAATATTAGGGTGTTTGATAAACTATTCATTTTACTAAAATTTTAAAATATATTTCATACCTAAAAAAAAAAATTTGTAATACCTACCTACTTTTACTTAAATTTATATTTTATCATTTTAAAAGTTATAATAATATAATAAGTACTCTTTCCAAAGCAAAATAAAAAAATCTGCCTTTAGTACTGCTTCTGCATCTGTATATTCAGTGTGTTGTTGTGAAATTATATGGGAAAAAGGCTTCATGGTGGTAAACAATAACGTAAATCAAAAACCAAATTTTTGACACAAAAAAATTTAAAATTTTACAGTCTAATATATAGATCTTATTTTTAGATACTGTGTTTGCAAGAAAAGTTAATTCGTGGCACATTCCGGGGCTGTGGATTGTGAAGTGTGGGTTGATTAAGTATTTGAGTGTACCGACTTAGCCACTTAATTTTTACATCGTTCTTATTTTATTAATTAAGCCACTAGAACAAACATTTTAGTGATTATTTTATATTTTTACAAATATAGGTATTTTAATGTTTTGAAGTGCTTAGTGCATTATTATTTTGTGCATTATTTGTGCTACATATTTCATACTCTAATTATAATATTTCAGTGAACCAATGTTATTACTATACTTATTATCATAGTTCAGAAACAAATTAAGTTTTTCCATGGTCGTATATTATAATATAATAGTATCATACACTAAGGTAAAATAATGTTATAATTTATAGTGTAGGTATACATTGTTCCCTGTAGGTTTATAAGTACCATATTATATATTATACAGTATTAATATACGAGAATGTACCCAAAAGAAAAAGAACTATTTTTGTACAAAGTTATTTATTTAATTTTTTTACAAAAAACATTTAATCTTCTTCAAAGTACTCTCCGTTGGAGTTAATGCACTTGTCCAATCTTTTGTTCCAATTTTCGAAGCATTTTTTAAACTCATCTTTTGTGATGCCTGCCAACGCCTCCGTCGTTTTTTTTTTTTACTTCATCAATGTCCGCGAAACACTTTCCTTTCATATCTCTTTTCATTCTTGGGAATAAAAAGAAGTCGCAGGGAGCCAGGTCGGGTGAATAGGGTGGATGGGACACAGTGGTCATACCATTTTTGGTCAAAAACCGCCGTACAGAAAAGGCTGTGTGAGCAGGAGCATTGTAGTGATGAAAAAACCATTCACCCGACTGCCACAAATCAGGTCTTTTCCGCCTCAAACTGTTGCGTAATCTTTTTAATACCTCTAGGTAAAATGCCTGGTTACATCTATTATCTGTAATTTATACTTTTAGTTCCTGTGAATAGAGCGATGAATATTGTATTGGTTCTAAAATTTTTATTCTCGTGTCTGTTTCTGTCATCACCTTTGGAGCTGTGATAATAACGCAAAATTGTGAGGGTGATTTCTGGTAGGAAATAGGATTTTGTTAGTAATTATTATAATTATTATTATTTTTTTTTTTGAGGGGAGGATTAGAAAATTATCAGAAATTAAAAAAATATAGAGAAAAACTTTTTAAAAAAAGGAATAATTTTATGCAACACCCGTTTTTACTTTTTTGTAATATCGATTTTACTAAATACATTTAATATTATCATTTAATATACATGATATAATTGTCAAAATATTTTGTCTTTTTTGAGCTATTGCCTATTTATAGACTTTGAAACTTTTTATTTTTTTTAGTGTTTTTTTTTTTGAACTATAATAACATTTTTTTTCTTAGTCAACAAAGCTTGAAAAGTAAAATGTAAATACATGTAAGTCAGTGGCGTATTTACGGGGAGGGGATCAAGGGGATCAAACCCCTCCACCATAGGCCGTATATAATATGCAAAAATTTTCGGAGTCCTAACTTAAGGTCTCTAACTTTAAAGGCGGGGCTACTGGGTAAAATCATATACCCCCCCCCCCCGACAAAAACCTAAATACGCCACTGTTATTCGATAATTCACAGCCTGGAATTTATAACATTACATATATTTCAATGTCATAAACTATATATGTCACACATGTGCCTACATTTTTGAACAATTTAATTGTTAGTAAATTATAATCAATACATATTTTTGAGATAATACTGCATTTGGGATTAAAAAAAACACATTTTATGATATTCAGATCATCTCTATGTCACAGCTCTATTTATTATTATTTATGAATTATGATAATATTTATTCATACCTATAAATTTAT